TGTATTCAACCGAATGAACGAATGAACTACCGCTGCACAAACGTTTACCACTTTTCGATTTCCGGTCGGTGTAATATTCAAGTGATTTCGATATAAAATATAACTTAACGTTGTAAAATGAAGACGATGTGTATATGTTGTTGCTGTTGTTGTTGTTATTGTTTTTTATTTTTGTGTTCGCTACTCCTAGCACCGAATTTTACATCGATTCGAAGCGCAAACGAATTGTACACCACCATCTTGCGGCACAGATACTCTTAGATATCAATGCAGGAAGTCACTAAATGTCCTGCAAATGAACCAGCATTTTCTGCTGACTTGGCATTAGCGTTTCGCCACAACTCGTAGGGGGTAAGCTTTTTAAGACATACTTAACAATGACTGGGTATACACTTGCATATATACGTGGGCAAAAACTATGTAATGAAATATATTGCGAAATTTAATGATATCTAGGCACCGGTGTTTTTTATATACATTTTAAGATTTTATTTTATTTTATTTTATATTATTTTTTTCCTTCCTTTGAACGCTCTGTGTCCGGCAGCTCCAATGCTCCATCAATGCTATTTTGAATGTTTATTGATGCGCATCGAATTTCTTAATGGCGCATTTTCGTCGCTGATATTATTTTCGGGGTATCAGTTGTGCCCACACAATGATGACCCGGAGGCCGCACATTACGTGCCGAAAGTTTTGCATCCATTAGCTGCTGCCGCTGGGTCTGCCGTATATTTAGCTATGCTTTCGTATTTCTTATATCTTTGAACCAATAAATTTAATATTTTTGATTTTCTAAAGTTAAATTGCAAAATTATTGCTCAAGCGATTGTGAAAGTGAGGAAGAAGTAAGCATAACTTAAACAAACTGATAAACAATGAATTGTTTAATTTTAGAATTTCATAAGTAGTATGGTTCAAGAGAGAACTTAATCCTAAGACTTTTATATAAAATCAAGTGAAAAAGAATTTTTACATTCAAATTGTGCAAGAAATATATTTCACATTATTTATATATCTTATAAAACAGATGGCCTTCAGGACATGCCATTAGTTCATAGTTGCAAATAAAGGAAATAAATAAATAAATGCTTTAGTTGTTATCTTCTAAGAAATCAAAAAACGTTAAGGAAAAATTTAAAAGCCTGGCAATTGTAGACCAACAAATTATATTCATCGATATATTGGGTATTCTCCTGATGACGGTAAAAGCGAATCTGCTGAAATATATAAAGAAATGAACAAAAAAATAGTAATGATCGAAATATTAGCTAAAATTCTTAAAAAATCAAACTATTAACCATTAAAATATATACGTACTTTAAACTAATTAAATAAAGATTTGTATATTTTCTAAGACCATTGATATTGAGTACTTGGCAATACTCAGAACAGTGTTGTATGGTCAGCCAAATTTCAATAAATTTATTAAAATTTTTGTTGTTGTTTCTACATAACTGTTCGAATCCTTTTAGTTTATTTTCGTCACATTCGACAAAAAAATTAACGTTAAAAAATTTTAAATAATAACAACGAAAGTTTCTTGCAGCTCTGACTCGTTCGGGTAATAAACGCACCAATAATATGAAATAGACTGGTTTAGAATTCCAAGCCTAACATTTCTAGTCAAATAATTATATATAAACTTATAAAGTTAACGAATATTTTCAAAGACTACTGATAATTAGTATTTGGCAACACTCAAAACAGCTATATGGTGAACCAAAATATTGAAATAGTTAAAAATAAAAAACTTTTTATTATTTGTCTATTATCCAACATTGTTCTAAGTCGTTCTATAATTATTCTGTAAATATGTTACGTACTTTGTCATCTATGAGTTGTTAAACTTTTTGTTGTTATTATTCTATTTAATTTGAATTTTTTCCATTAGTAACTATTTTTACTAATTATTACTAATTTTTTATAGTTGTTACTAATTATTTTTTTTACTAGTAATAGTTTCTACTAACTATTACTAATTATTACTCATTATTTCCAATTATTACTATCACTATTTGATTTAAACAATCATATATAAGGTCTGTTATCACTTGTGGGAGTGAAAACTGGAGATTAATTGATGCCGAAGCAAACAAACTGGCGGCAATTGAAAGAAGGATTATGAAAAGAGTATTTAGATCAGTGCAAGAAAATAGAGAATATCGCATAAGATATAATGATGTACTGACACAATAATGAAGCATATAAAAAACCAACGTGTAAAGTTGGTGGGAGCCGTTGTGCGAATACCAGAAGAAAGAGAAGCAGTTAGAATCTTCGAGAGTGAAGTCAGAACAGCGAAAAGAAAAGTAAGATCAAGCAAGATATGAAGCGACAGTGTTTGACACAAGAACTGAGAAATATGAATGTTATCAAAAGAAAGATAAAAGCTAAAAATATAGAATAATGGAGAAATATAGTTAAACAAGCATAGGTCCTACAAGGACTGTATAGCTATAGATGATGTTGATGATTACTAACTATTACTAATTATTACTAATAAGAAGTAATTGTATAGTACTTTTAACTAAAAGTACTCCATCAGTATTTCTTCGTCATAATTGATTTAAAAATGAAATTTAATATAAATATATGACTAATTTAATTGTCCATATATAGTTTTGTTTTGAACCACAAATGTAAGGTATTGAACCTTGCCAAATTTTAACCGTGGACCGACATATTAACACATTAAGCCAGCGAATACTTAATTTGGGTTATAGAAATAAATAAATGTCAATACATTACTTAGTCTTAGCACTTACATTTTATACTAAAAGTAAAAATAAGTAATTAGTACATTTCTAACAGCTCTTAGTACCTTTCCTAAATAATAAATAATATTTTTGCTAAGTATTCTATTCTAAAACATTCTAGAATATTTTAAAACATAATTATTTAAGAGAGATTGGGTTTTAATACTTCTATCGTCATATTGACTTTTTCACCTATAGCGTTCCAAACAGTATCTGAATTTTTCTCACTTTTCTTTGCCGGAAAATACTTTTCTTTGCTGTTTCAACTTCTATTAAACGTAAAAATTATTTACTTTAACGCTACACATTTTAGTGTAGAAAAAATTAAATTTAATATTATTTTTAATTTAGTTTGCTTCATGGCTTTTTTAGAATTCAATTAAAATTCATTTACCATGAAATTAGTTCACTTCATTTTTCCAAACTGTTTTCTACCTCGAATTGGATTTGCAAATTGTGTGAAATATGCAAATCCATAAGACCTGAAAGAATGAACTTCCTTAGCAACCTACGTACGAGGACGCATCTGCTTTAATTTCAAAAAATTTGAACTTTTTTTCAGTTTCAGTTTAAAGTGAAGTTGTTTTGGCTTCAAGTTCAGATTTTATCGCCGTATCGAATGTGTGAATAATTTAATAAAAGTCATTCATCTCCAATTTTTTTTTTTTTGTTTTGTGGACTTGTATTTGTGAGGTTTCAAAAAGTCACTTTGTAATTATATTTCAATTACTCGTTGAGCCCACATGTGCTGTTTGAATAGGAAATGGAATTGTAATATTTTCCCTTAAAAAAAAATGAAAACACTCTTCCATGCCATTGACAACACTTGGTCAGCCAAATTGTTTGGATTTGTAAATTTATTATTTGAAAACAAACTTTTTATGATTTTTTTTTTTTTTTCAAATCTAAATTTTTTTGCTGTACCGGCGATAAGTTACAAAATAATTGCACTAACCCGACTGTCAAAATGCATTTACAGTGGGGCAAACAATAGAGACAATAGCTTTTAAGCTATATGTTAAATAAGCTAAGCAATATTAAAAACTTTAAAAACAGGGTTGGTATAAATCGTTGGGTTTCCATTTCATCTTCAGTAAAATCCACTGCAATATTCATTGAGTTAACTACCTAGCCGTTGGAAATGCGGTAGAGTTAGATCTTCAAGCAAAGAAAACCAATTGCCTTTAAAACAACGTATTGAATGTTAAACCTAAAGACGTTGATTGTATGTACAATGGGTGTCTGCCTGTAAAGTCTAAGAGGATATGTAAATGGTTGCCAATATTGCAAAAATTGGCATTTAACTTATAGAGGTGGTACTCTATAGTAACCGAGGAATTTTGCTCTTTTCACGTTATATACAAACAACTAGATGATATATATAGTATTTATGTATATATATAATACAATTCATATATATATATGTGGAATATATATATCTCTTCTCGATATGTATAAATATTTAATGAATATATGGTAAAAAATGAAAGCCTGATAGAAGAACTAAATTTCTTGAAAATATGTGTTAAGTTCTATTAAACGAACTTTAGAATAATAATTGGAAAAGAGAAGTGAAGTAACTTTAATATCTGCAAAACTGTTTAGAGATTCTATTGAAAGAATTGCAATATTTAAACAGAATACTTTAAGGTGGAAGGCACGTGGTTAAGCTCAATATTGCAAGAAACGACGAATGCAAGACGGGTATTAAGAAATACTGAAGCATCTTCTTTGTTTCTATGCGGTTTCTCAAAAGTTAGACTGTACCAGTTTTAAGAGGATGACACGACAAAGATTGTCATTTAATGTGATATAGAACCAACCATAGTGCTTATGTTGATAGTAAGACTTCTTACATAGGACGGATGTGAGTCCTTGAATGCATATGTGTAATTTGATATACAAATTTTTGACGACTTGAAAAAATTGAAAATTGAATTCTATTTAATTTAGTCGCAAAAATAAGAAAAATGGATCCTTCATCTGGGAGATGAAAATAATAGTATGATAAGGATGACACCATAGACATGTTGTGGTTTTTATGACTTAATTGAGTGAAATAAAAATGTGGATTAAAGGAATGATATTGTGTAAAAAAATAGTTAAATATATTTAAGTGTTTATATTGCGATACAATATTAAGTATAAATGAGCTTTCTCATAAATTTAATAATTATTATACTGCTTGCTGTTAAGCCGTTATTAAATAAAAATTTTATAATTTATAATAGAAGTCGTTACCTCTTAACTTTTTCATAAATGAATCTTTATTATTTGGAAGAGCAAAATCTTGAAAACTAGCGCAATGCGCGATTTCACTAATTTAAATTTATTCCTGATAAAAAAAACATTAACTAGTTTTATGATCAAAATATTTTAATTAAATAATTTGTAAAAAACAATCGTAAAATATTAAAATAATATTTGGATGTAATTTCTTGGCTTACTAGAGTTTTATTAATGATTTAATTGTCAAGGAATGAGGAAGGTATAATGAAGTTGTACAAAGCATATATTTACATATTCAAATTTATGTAATTTTATTATATTATATACAGTAAGCTACAACAAATATAAATATTGTTTCAAAAATACAATGCAAAAAATAAAATCAATTAAAAAAGTATATATTCAATATATGCAATATATAGCTGAAAGAGTTATCCAAAACTATTACAATAGTTTATGGCAATCACTTTGGCTGAATTGCTTCAAATGGATCCTAATCGAAGATAAGGTAAAAATAGCACAATCAGATAGGTCATAATACATATTCTTTCCTTTTTTCTGGAGAAAAAATTTACTTATAAAAAAACTTGTCTTCTATTTAATAGTCTGTTTTTAAGTCCGTTTCATTCCCATAATTCCCAATCCCATTGTAATGAAAAATGGAGATACAAAATTTCCGTGGCTCTAATATTAGCTTGCTGCCTTTTCCAAACATTCTGCGAATTCTTAAAAGGAGTCAAAAATGAATTAGAAAAAATTTCACAGCACAATGGACCTTCTTCTTCTTTCTACGAAACATTTCCAGGTCTCAAAAGATGGCTTTCGTTGCTATCCACCTACCGGATCAAAGAAAAACAAAAAAGAAATCACTTTTAATTATACATCATACACATTTATATATCATTTCTAGTAACATATATATAAAACTTATTATTAGTCCTCAAGAACTTCTCAATGTTATTTCGAATAAAATGTGTAAACTTTTCTTGGTATTTAAATTTAATTTAACCACTGCACTTTGTGTGAAATGGCCATTAAATAATCAACACCTCTCGCAAATTTTTGGCGCTAAAATATATACATTTCCGTCATGGACCAAAAAAACGTTTATAAAAACCCCACTTTGCAATGAAAGGGGAATAAATAATATTTACCCCCAAAAACATAAAACTGCATCAGCTGCTTCTAATAGAGGGGGGAACGCTTTACTTATGTGTCCAATTTTAAAAATGGAAAATTTAAAATAAATAATGAAATAAAAATAAACAACAGCAAAGCACAAATTGCACATTTTTTGGGGAATAAACAAATACAATTGTTAAAATCAAACGAAGAGATTTTCCACGCCTAATCAAAAACGAATTAATTTCGGAACGTGACAGGGAGTTTGATTTCGCAATATTGCCACAATAGGAAGACAGCGCCACTGGACACAGTACAGCACGACTGCAATACTTTGGGGGTTAAAAACAGTGAAAATCAGAATGGAAAGAAATTAAATGAAATCCATTAAGTAGACAGACATAAAAGCTGCTGTCTGTAGCAGGACACAGGACTGGAGTGATTGGGGAGTTAAAATGAATGAGTGGATGAGTATTGCATATATGCAACAATTGTTTTTGTTAAAAGTTTGTACACCGAGTTGAATTAGTGTTAATATTAGTTACAAAGAAAGTTGCAAGAAAGAAAAAGAAAGTATGTTGCATTTTCTCCACCCAAAGAAACATTCAACCCAACGTATTCCTGAAGGATACAAAACTGTTATTAGTCCTGTAAACTATAAATTCAGTTTACTGCCATGTTACGCATAAATACTACCGTGTAGTAATTAATGTTATTTGTTCAGTGTAATTTGGGGGGTGTGTTGTGGATTTTGTGCAACAGCAGCAGCAGCAGTCACAGTAGAACACTTTCAACCATCTAAACTACTTGGCAGTCTGTCAGATAGTTTTTTTTTTCTCTTCAATATACCTGACAGTGATGCATTGCCGAAATTTATACCTTCGTTTACTTTTTCATCCACGTTATCAACGAAAGTTATCTCAATTTTGCCACGATATGTACGCCATTCGCCCTCGCAGTCATGTTGCATAAAGCTAACCACATTTTCCAATTTGGTCATGTTGTCCTTGTGCTGTCTTTGGGTTTTAGTGCACCTTTGCACTTGCCATAAAATTAGTATCCCTTCACCCGAGGGGATTCTACTATGAAACATGCGTATCACTCTAGAATTCACTGAGTAAATAAATATGAAAATCCCTTACGCCATTTGTAGTGCAATTAAATGGGATTCCTAGCATTTAGTCAACCTTACTTTTTGATACCAAATATTTTTTGTGGTTTTATCTATCTATAATACAAATAAATGAAGTATATTTGTTATGTAGATACAGTTTATTTTAATTACCATTGATTTGATTTCTTTTTTACACTACGTCTGTGATTATATGTGGACGTAATGCATTGAATCGATAATATCTAATTTCAATTTTTGTGTCATTAAATTCGGTATTAGGGGGTTTTAAATCAATACCAAGGACTATGGTTTGTGGTTTTAGTAATTTCATGGTCAATGACTTGTGTGTGGCCAAACGATTTAATCATTAAACTAAATGTTGTATCTTACATGTTCGTCTGCAGTTTAATTTATTTTGTTGGAAATGTGATACTTGTCAGTAGTGACTCGTGTATGATATGTTAATGATTAAAGAGCATAAATAGTATTAATATGTGCTCTCTATTAATGTAAGCTTGAAAATAAAATATTTGTGGATATTTGTCGAGTAACAACTTTAAAACAGTGCAATATTAAATTATTAAACAATATATTAATATATATAATAATATGTTATTGTCCTTGGTACATTAGGACGAATGATATCCTCAGGGACCTCAAGATTGATCCCATCAAAAAATACATAAAGGATAGAGCCCTGAAATTATTTGCGAAATCTGACAGACTTACTAACACCGCGTTATCAAATCTCAGAATGGTTACAGGCTCCTCGGGGAGATATGCAGATCTGAGGTCAATTATTGCCTAGTCTAATGAAGTGATAAACAATAATCCAGTCAAGGCGCAAAGAGGGGTTTTGTAGAAACCTCGCAGTTAATAGAGAGTAAAAGTGCTCAGGTGCATTGACTCAACTCAACTAGCCTCACGTCTCTCTTTGGTTTTATTTTCATATATCCATCTGGAATCTCTCTTATCTTATTTCCTTCCCTTTCTTTCGCCTATCGCGACTATTTCGCACCGTTATTGGTTCTCTCTAAAGTCAGTTTTGCCTCATTTTTGACTTTCCTTTGTTTTGTGCGCTCCTTATTCATACAGTTTCCTTCACCCTCTTTCTTGACTCTTTTCCACATCTCTCTTTTCTGTTTCTCCAATCCCCTGTCTCTTTCTTGAATCTATCTCGCCTCATTCCCGCTAATCTTTAGCTCCATCCATGCCTCTTTTTCCCACCTCTCTTCTGACTCTCTTTCAGCACGCTGCTTCATGCCTTCCGCCCCTTTCTTGTCTTTTTTCGTATTTGTCTCTTGCCATTATAAAGCCACACTTGGCTCTTTCTGTCGTTTTTTTTTTTATTTATTTTCGTTTCTTTTTTAAATAATGATAAATTTAAAAATTAAAAATAAAAGCTGCGTTCACATTATTTAAAAGAAAGGCAGATATATCATAAATATTATATCACAGTTTTTAATAACATATATCATACCATAACGATATGTAGTTGTTTCGATATTAATACCTTTTCTATATATATTTTAGTATAATTATTTAAATGTCCTTGACTTAAATATATAAGAAACTTCGTAAAGGACCTACCTTTCTTTACTATATACTATATATATACTACTATATACTACTTCTATACTACCTTTCTATACTTCTCTATACCTATAGCGATTAATAATTAATGCTGAAGATGAGACAGTTAGGCATAGTGTTTGAAATACTTTCACTTTATGATTCTTAAATGCGATGATATGTGGTGCAACGATGATGTCATTTGTGGGAAATGCATTCATCTAAGTTACAATATTAATTTTAAGAACATATGTTGAGGCGTCTTATTGAAAAAATAATCCTTTAGAATATTTTACGTAATAATTTAAAATTTATCATCTTTTTTATGAGATCATTAAAATCAACAAAAAAAAAAATAAATAAATAAATAATTGCACATATTATATATTCATATTGTATTGTTCACTAACAGTGACTGGCAATTTTTATGAATATACTAGGAATGACAATTTGATCCATTGTTTCATTCCCCATGATAGCTTTCCTTAGCGAAAACTGTGTCAATTTTTTTCATATTGTAGAAAATGAGAGTGCAAATTGCTGCATATTAATTCAGCAGTGATTTGTACGTCAAATTTTGTTTTAAGTGTGTCACACTCAGATTTTTTTCTCTTGCAAATGTCGTTATTACCCTCATTAATCCTGTGCAAACGGAACTCACAGACGTCAAACATTCAACGTGGTCCATGAGCAAAGAAAAGTGATATCAAAGCTTTCGACGACAATAAAAAACGATGACACCGTCATAAATTGTGACACAGAGTTTTACATATGATGTGTGAAACGTATAAAAATAAAATAAAAAGAATATTAAAAAAAATTGAAAAAAAAAGTAAAAGATTAAGATAACTTGTTAGTAGCTACCTTACCTTAGCTTACCTTATCTAGAAATTGTAGTGTGTGTAAATATATGTGAGTTTCTATATATCTACATAATTTTTTCCCTACTAGAATAAATAGAACATAACTATAAAATGAAATTGTTAGGTAAACTCGAGCTACAAACTTATATCACACCCTGTATACATTGATTATCACACAAAGTTTTCTACCATATAACCATGATGACTTTAAAATTTTTACTTGGTAGAGAATGTACTTGGTATTATCCGTTTTATTTTTATTACACTAATGTCTATAATGTAATAAAAGAAATAATTTTAATGTAATATATCAAATCTCCAAGCTGCACCTTATGTATGACATATCAACTCTAGTCTGGAGTGTTGGAGTGTTTGCTTTTAAATTGCATAAAATTTATTTAAATAGGCGCCCCATTTCACTGAAGTATGTACAATAATCACAACAATGCCAAACGTCATAGGA